TTAAAAAAAAAAAAGGCTCTGAGAAGTCCTGCTACAAAGAATCCCCTTGACCTTTTATTGACCCTGTGGTTCCCAAATGGTTCTCAGCCACCATTCTGCATCATTGACTTTCCCCAGAGCATGTTTTGGGAAATTCTGCTCCAAAACCGTAGGGAAGAAAAAAAAAACTGCTTTTTTTTTTTCTTTTTTGACTTGGGGAAAGACACTAAAGTTCTCTTTAAGTCAGATTTCTCCCAGCACTTTCCCATCTTTCTGGATAGCCGCCTTTCGAGGCGGGTATCTCCGGCAGGCATGCTCTGCGGCCCTCACCCCTCCCTCTTGCTGCCCGCAGGCGTGAACGTGACAATGCCCGCGCAGCCCGGCATGCCACCCCTCTCCTCCACCCAGCTACAGATCGACCCTGCTCTGCAGGAGTTCCAGCTGGTCGACCTGTCCCGACGCTTCCTGGTGCATGACTCTTTCTGGACTCTGCCTGAGCAGTTCCTGGGCAATAAGGTGAGGGACCACCTGCTGCTCTGGATGGGGAAGGGGAAAAAGGCCAAGCCCCCCTCCCATGCCCAGACTCTGCTCTGGAGGAAAGGTGGACACTGGCTTATTTGTTCAGGGTAGGGCGTCTGGCCACCGTGCTCAGGTTGGAAGGAATGCTGACTCAGCCTTTAGAAAGGGGCTCCTCAACCATTCCCCCCACACCTGAGATGAGGTCGGTGCTCCTTCTCTGGCCTCCCTGGGCAACTTTTATTCTACCCCCCATATCAGACCGAGTACCACCAAGGCAGAGCCAAGTCCCACCCATCTCCGCTTCCCTGTGCCCAGCTCTGTGCCGGGCATACAGTGAGCCCCAGGCACACAGAGGGAAGGAGGAAGGGCCAAGTGAACACAGAGCAGGCATCAGGTCATGCCCCTGGCTTCCCTGCCCCAATCTGCCCCGTCTCGGCCAGGTGGACTCCTACGGTGGCTCCTTGCGCTACAAGGTGCGCTACGAGCTGGCCCGGGGCATGCTGGAGCCAGTGCAGCGGCCGGATGTGGTCCTCGTGGGCGCCGGATATCGCCTCCTCTCCCGAGGGCACGTGCCCACCCAGCCTGGCACTCTGAACCAGCGGCAGGTTCAGTTCTCCGAGGTAGGCGGTGCCTGAGCTCTCAGGGCTGGGGGAAGGGGCTACAGGCTGGGCAGGTGCTAACGTGTGATGCCTCCACACACCTTCGTTCGTATCCAGGAGCACTGGGTCCACGAGTCCGGCCGGCCGGTGCAGCGGGCTGAGATGCTGCAGGTGCTGCAGAGCCTGGAGGCCGTGCTCATCCAAACGGTGTACAACGCCAAGATGGCCAGTGTGGGACTGAGTGACATTGCCATGGACACCACTGTCACCCACGCCACCAGCCACGGCCAGGCCCACAGCGTGGAGGAGTGCAGGTGCCTGACCTGGCAGGGCTCAGAACCACAGAGTCCGCGGCAAGGACAGGGGAGAAACAGCAGGGCCTCACGGTTCCTGTAACCACTGTCTTCGTCCTGCCCCCACAGATGCCCCATTGGCTATTCCGGCTTATCCTGCGAGAGCTGTGATGCCCATTTCACCCGGGTGCCGGGCGGGCCCTACCTGGGCACCTGCTCTGGCTGCAACTGTAATGGGCACGCCAGCTCTTGTGACCCTGTGTATGGCCACTGCCTGGTGAGTAGTGCCAGTTGGCATTTGAACACTGGCTAGGGGCAGGGGGCACAGACAGGGTTGGGAGGCCCAGGCTGAAGCTTCTTTGTGCCCGCAAGCTTAGCATGAGCCTCTAGAATGACTGTCGTGGCTGCTAGATAAACTGTCATGATCTCTGGATGCATTAACAGAGATATAAGATCCAGATAAGGGAGGTGAAGGTCCTTCTCTCTTCCACTCTGGTCAGAACAATCCTGGAGAGTACTGTGTTAAGGATGGTCCTTAGCAAGGCAGCCCTAAGGGGAAGAAGCCTGGAAATCATATGTATTTCTAAGGAATAGTGGAGGGGGCTGGGATTATGGAGCTGACCGAAGACAAGGCTCAAGCGGGGAAAGCTCCCATCTTCAAATTCCTCAAGAGCTGCATAGAGTAAGAAGAAACAGATTCCAGAGGGCTGAAATGGCCAGTGGGTACAGGTTAGAAGAGGCAGGCGGGTTTAGGTCAGTATAAAGCAGGTATTTAGAACCTTCTGTGGAACAGGCTGCCCATGTGAGGGGCTGAATTCCCCATCAGGATGCGGCTGGATGCTCCCCTGTCTGCAGAGCTGTGGAGTAACTCCAGCATGATAGAGGAGGCTGGGCCAGCCGCAAAGGGCCACGCTCAGCATGCAGTGTGGCCCTACACTGGGGGCGGAGTCCTGCTCTGTAGGACCTGAACCGCTCCATCCCCTTCCTCCCAGAATTGCCAGCACAACACAGAGGGGCCACAGTGCAACAAATGCAAGGCTGGCTTCTTTGGGGATGCCACCAAGGCCACGGCCACTGCCTGCCGGCCCTGCCCTTGCCCGTACATTGACGCCTCCCGCAGGTCAGAGCCATTTCGGGGTGGGGCAGCAATGCTGGGTGGGGAGAGGGCAGTACAGCAGGCTAGGGGCAGACTCTGGGCCGGGAGGTGGCAGACCCGGGTTCGAATCCTAACCTGGTCACTAAATTGTTCTGTGCCCCTTGACCTCTCTGAGCCTCAGCTTCCTTCCCCATCTAATGGGCCCATCTGTCTTCCTAGTGTTGCTATGAGGCTGCAGATCAAGAATAGGTGGGCAGGGGCTCAGTCAGCAAAGCATTTGACTCTTGATCTCAGGGCTGTAAGTTCGAGCCCCACGTTGGGTGTAGAGATGACTTAAAAATAAAAAAAGGATAGGTGGGGAAAGAGACGGCATCATGCCTCACGACATACTTCGCCACATGGGCAACAGTCACTTCCCAGGGTGGGAGTGTAAGCCCCGGCCTGGTGTATCACTGCAGCCCTGCCCCTCTCCTGCCATTTGGTACCCACAGATTCTCGGACACCTGCTTCCTGGACACGGATGGCCAAGCCACATGCGATGCATGTGCCCCAGGCTACACAGGCCGTCGCTGTGAGAGGTGAGGGAGAGCCGGTGGGGACCGGGGCAGAAAGAGCTGTACTGGGTGGGGACACGGAAGCGCCGCTGACGACCCTCCCTCTCTCCCCCAGCTGTGCCCCGGGATATGAGGGCAACCCCATCCAGCCCGGCGGGAAGTGCAGGTCCACCAGTGAGTGTCACAGCCACCAGCCCCTGGCACCTCCCCGGGCTGCCCACCGGGGCCCCAGTCCTGGAGCCCTGCCCTAACCCCATGATCCTTGGGGAACCATCCCATTCTGCCGCCGGTCTGGCCAGACTGGCTCTATCCCATTCCCGCCTGCCTTGCCAACACCCACTTTGTGCTTCCAGACCAGGAGATTGTGCGCTGTGACGAGCGAGGCAGCATGGGGACTTCTGGGGAGGTCTGTCGCTGTAAGGTACGTGTGCCGTCCCCTCCCCCACCCCAGGGGCCTCTGGCGGGCATGCAGCTGGGAGAGGGAGGAAGGAGACTCAACCTTCTCCATAGCTCCTTGGCTGGTGGGTGACAGCTTAGCTAGAGGCTGCTGAGCCTGGCTGGCTAGTCCTCCTTCCCCTCTTGAGAGGTGGTCTGGCATCGGGAAGGAGCCTCAGTTGGGGAGTCAGGTAACCTGGGCTGAAGTCCCAGATCCTTTGCCAGTCATTCTTCGTGTGACTGACTGCTGTATCTGTATTCTGTCTTCGCTTTCACATCCTCACGCTGATGTGATCTTACGGGTATTAGCATCCCCAATTTACAGACGAGCAACGGAGGCTCACAGGAGCCTCCATCATTTGCATTAAGAGTGGAAGACTCGAGTGTCAGTGGAAAAAAGAACTGGGCAAATTTTGGAGTTAAGCGCCCTGATCTTAAATCCCAGAGTGGATTAGCAAGCCGAGGGGCCTGGTGTAAATCATTCCCCATCCCTGAGCCTCCACGTTCTCATGTGGAGCATGGAGGTATCACATATTTCTCGGTACTCAGAAGAATTAAATGAGCTGGTGGTCGAACAGAAACCAGCACAGTGCATAAAACACTCTACATAAAGAGTAGCAGTAACTTTTAACCAAATGGCTGTGTTTCAAATCTATGTATGTTTGTGAGCCCGCTACCAGCCAAAGTGAAAAGGGGGAAAAGATTGGTTGCTTAAGCTCCCCTTAATTGGGAATCACTGTTCACGTGGTGGCAGCCCTGCTTACAGGTGCTCTTCCCGTGGCTTTCCCCGCCTTGGGTCCCCATCTAGAGGGTGGGCAGATGAAGCTGGAAGCTCCAGGCAGCCCCTCCCGTGGGCCGTCCTGCAGCTTCCAGCTCTGTGCCTGCAGAACAACGTGGTGGGGCGTCTGTGCAACGAGTGTGCGGCCGGCTCTTTCCACCTGAACGCCCGCAACCCTGACGGCTGCCTCAAGTGCTTCTGCATGGGTGTCAGCCGCCAGTGCACCAGCTCGTCCTGGAGCCGTGCCCAGGTACCTGCGTGGGGGGGCGGGGAGACAGCAGGTGCCGGGGCGGGTGCCGAGCCCAGGGCCGACCGTGTGCCAGGCCCAGCCCCCAGCCCCCATGCCAGCCTCCTCTCCCCCTCCCAGGTGCATGGGGCTTCTGAGGAGCCGGGACAATTCAGCCTGACCAACGCCGCGGGCACCCACACCACCAGTGAGGGCATCTCCTCACCTGCGCCCGGGGAGCTGGTCTCCTCCTTCCACAGCCTCCTGGCCGGACCCTACTTCTGGAGCCTCCCCTCACGCTTTCGCGGGGACAAGGTGGGCAGAGGGGCTGGGAAGAGAAAAGGAATCCTGGGCGGCAGGGACGGCACAGGCAGGCAGAGGCTCAGAAACAAGAGTGTCAGGGTGCCTTCGGAGCAAAGGGGGAAGGCGTGGCCGGAGCAGTGGCCGGGCCTCCACTGAGCACCAGTCCACCCTGTGTCCCAGGTGACCTCGTACGGAGGAGAGCTGCGTTTCACGGTGACCCAGAGGCCCCAGCCCGGCTCCACGCCCCTGCACGGGCAGCCCCTGGTTGTCCTGCAGGGCAATGGCATTGTCTTGGAGCATCACACTTCCCAGGAGCCCAGCCCTGGCCAGCCCAGCACCTTCACAGTGCCTTTCCGGGAGGTGAGCTGCACTGCCTGCAGCCTGGTGTGGGGCGTGGGGCGGGCCCCTGCCTCTCTCACCCAGGGGCGTCAGTAGCCTGGGATGTCAGGGCTTGGAGGCACACATGTCCTCTTTTTGGCAGCAAGCATGGCAACGGCCTGATGGGCAGCCGGCCACACGAGAGCACCTGCTAATGGCACTGGCGGGCATCGACACCCTCCTGATCCAGGCGTCCTTCAGCCAGCGGCCAGCTGAGAGCAGGTGTCTGGGGCCAGGGCAGGAGGACACAGGGGCTCGGGGCCGTGGTTCCAGTCTCGGCAGTGTGGTACAGTGTGGCCAGACCACCAGCTCTCCCACAAGCAGGCTGTGGGGTCTTTCGTGCATCACTTTCCCCGTCTGTAAGATGGAGATCATGGGTCTGGGCTGAGGTCAGGTTCCCTAGGAGCAAAGCCTGAGATGGGGATTGGGGAGCACACAATTCACAGTGAGAACATGGGAGGGAGGGAGAGAGAAGGACAGGTGGATGAAGGAAGTGGAAGTGGCCAGGCAAGGAAGCGGTTTCAGATAAAGACTAGCCTCAGGCTCACCCCACAAGGAGCTCTGCAGAAGCATTCTGCTTCGAGGCAGAGGGGCTTCTCTACCCTAGGTCAGGCTGTCATTGGTCACCCTGGGAGAGCAGGTGGTATGTTCTGTCCAGGAAAGGAAGGCTCATTCTCTGGAGAGAGTTGCAGGAATAAGCCATTCACCATGACCCTCGTAGCGGCTGGGGCATGGACATCCAGCTGGGGGAGCCAGACGGGGCTCCAACACCACAGCGGGGCTGTGACGTAATTAAATTAGTGACGTACGTCACTAAAAAAAAAATTAGTGACGTAATCGCATGCAGAACCCCAGGGATGCCTGGCACGGAATGTGTGCTCATTCGGGGTGGGTCTTGTCACTCCCAGGGTCTCTGGTATCAGCATGGACGTGGCTGTACCTGAGGACACTGGCCAGGACCCGGCGCTGGAAGTGGAGCAGTGCACCTGCCCACCCGGGTACCGTGGCCCATCCTGCCAGGTGAGCCCCAGGCCCCACCCACCTGTCCACCAGCAACCTCCTTGGTGTTCCCAGCCTCCTCCCCCTTCAGCTCTCCTGTCCTCCCCAGGCCCACCCCAGCCCCACCACCCAGCGGGCACTGCCCTGAACAGGCTCTTCCCAGGAAGGCCCGACCACTGCCCAATCTTCTTGCCCCCAGGACTGTGACACAGGCTACACACGAATGCCCAGTGGACTGTACCTGGGCACCTGTGAACGTTGCAGTTGCCATGGCCATACCGAGGTCTGTGAGCCTGAAACAGGTGCCTGCCAGGTGAGTCTCACCCTCCTTCCTTCCTACCTGGGGATCGGTGGCCTCCAGGGCTGCCAACACCAACCTCTGCTCCCTGTAGGGCTGCCAACACCACACAGAGGGCCCTCAGTGTGAGCAGTGCCAGCCCGGATACTACGGGGATGCCCAGCGGGGGACACCACAGGACTGCCAGCCGTGCCCATGCTATGGAGCCCCCGCCGGCAGCCAGTGCGTCCTGTACCTGCCCTCTCCTGAAATATCCCTTGCGCCCTTCCAGACTCCCTTCTTCCCAGGCCCTTCTGAGGGGCAGTGGTTAAATCCTGGCCTTGCCACCGCCTCACTGTGTCGCTTTGTATAAGATACGCTTTCCTCTCTGGGCCTCCACTTCCTCATCTGTGAAATGGGGAGACTAAGACACCCCACCTTGGCCACTCGTGTGAGAATTGAATGAGGGCTCTGAGCACGGTGCCTGGAACATCGCTCGCTTGCCCACTCTTCCTCTCCCTTCTCCCCCAGACCTAAAGGAAGGGCTGCTGACCCTCTAACTAGAACTTTGCCCCCCACCGACAGGGCTACCCATACTTGCTTTCTGGACACTGACGGCCACCCCACCTGTGATGCGTGCTCCCCAGGCCACAGCGGGCGTCACTGCGAGAGGTAAGGCAGGTGGCGGGCAAGGTGGGGAGTGTGCAGGAGGACCTGCCCCAGAAGCCTCCCACTCTCCCCTTACGCAGGTCCCCGGAAGACACTCAGCTCTCCTCCCTGAGAGCCTGAATCCTCACACATCTAGGCCTGCGGTTCACCTCCAACCGCCAGCACCCCATGCCCCAGTGAGGGCAGGGACTCCCCAGGAAGCCCCTCATTCTTGCTAAAGGTCCTGGGTTCAAGGCCCGCTCATGCTCGCTCACCGGTTCTGTGGCGTCGGGCCTGTCCCTGCTCTTCTGCCACCTGTCCTCCTATCCGTAAAATGGGCGAGTTAGGCTGATCGGTTCCTTCCCACACTGTGAGGCCTGGTTCCAGTCCGAGTCTGATACAGGGCCCCCAAGCACAGTCCTGGGCTCACAGCAGGCTTGCCAGGATTCTGTGGTTCTGCCCACCCTTCATCCAGTGCTTTCTCCTTAGGTGTGCCCCAGGTTACTATGGCAACCCCAGCCAGGGCCAGCCATGCCGAAGTGAGTAGGGTTGGGAAAGCTTTTGGGGTCGGGCTACCCTGTCTCCCCCAGGGGTGGAGCCAGGGCAGACCTTAGTTCTCCTTCAGCCTGCAGCAAGTGACTTTAACCTTTCTGAGCCTCAGCTTTTTTATCTGTAAAATGGGTGTGGTAAAAAAAACCTCACCCATTTCAGAGGGCTGCTATGAATAGATGTAATGCCTATGTAGGGTAGGTGTTCAGAAAGAGACACTCCCTCTCTCGGTGGTGAGTTTGGTGCCCGGAGGGTGGTGGAAGTGAGGGTGCTTGGAGGCGGGTTTGGGGTTCCATCTGTGGCTTCCCTCCGCCTCAGGAGACGGCCAACTGCCAGAGCCCATCGGCTGTGGCTGTGACCCCCAGGGCAGCATCAGCAGCCAGTGTGACGCTTCTGGCCAGTGCCATTGCAAGGTTAGTCCAAACCCCCGCTCTCTAGCGGGCCCTGCATGGCAGCCGTGGTGGTCGCCCTGGCGTTCCCTCTCAGTGCACCCTTATTGGGGCTGTCCCTGAGCCCCCACCACCCTTCCCCAGAGGCCCCATCGCTGCCCCACTGCCCGGGCCCTGTGGGAAATCAGGCAGCAGCTGACGGGAGCCGGGCCTAGGCCTGGGGGCTGCAGGGGCTCCCCCGGAACTGCTAGACGTGGCCAGGAGGCTGCCGGAGGTGCAAGAGCTCCCGCCTCCCACAGACCCCCACAGCCACCCTTCCGTCCGTCCTCCCAGGCCCAGGTGGAAGGCCTCACGTGCAGTCACTGCCGGCCCCACCACTTCTTCCTGAGCGCCAGCAACCCCGACGGCTGCCTGCCCTGCTTCTGCATGGGCGTCACCCAGCAGTGCACCAGCTCGTCCTATGCCCGCCGCCTGGTAAGTGCACGTGCACCGCCCCTCTCCGAGCCCCCACTGGGGCCGGTCGCGAAGCTGGCCAGTGGCGTCCCTTCGGCCTAGGAGGACACCCATCCCCATGCCCCCGTTATGGCCCCTGTAAGCACAGATCCCAGCGACCCTCGCCCCTACCCTAATACCCTCCCTGGGACTCCAGTATCGCTTGTGTCAGCACTGAGCCCGGCACCCCTTTTTTCTCCCCGCTGGCCTCCCCATTCCCCTGTTACTTCTGTCCTCCCCCCCCCCCCCCCCCCGCTCTCAGCAACTCCCCATGACCCACCCTGATGCCTTCCCCTGCCCCTCCCCCACCAGAGTGCCCGCCCCCCACCCCACCCCACCCCCGGGCCCAGGCTGACACCCCATCCTCTCTCTGCTGCCAGATCTCCACCCGCTTTGCCCCTGGGGACTTCCAAGGCTTTGCCCTGGTGAACCCGCAGCGGAACAGCCGCCTGACAGGAGGCTTCAGCGTGGAACCCGTGTCTGAGGGCTCCCAGCTCTCCTTTGGGAACTTCGCCCAGCTCGGCCACGAGTCCTTCTACTGGCAGCTGCCGGAGGTGTACCAGGGAGACAAGGTGTGATCCCCCGCCCCAGCCTCCAGTTCTGAGCCGGCCCCCACTGAGCCCCGCGGCCAGGGGGCACTCTGGTCACAGGTTGACCTCAGAGCAGGCGTCAGCCACGTCGCAGTTCAGCGTGTGGCCTTTGGGGTCAGACAGGCCTCAGTGTAAACCCAGCTCTGCCGCTGACCAGCTGATTGCCTTTTGATAAACCTCAGCTCCAGGGCGGCTGGGAGCTTGAGAGATCGTGCCTGGCACACAAGAAGTGCCCTCCTGTCGATGATCGTTAGCTTTCGTGCGGCCGATAGGTCCTGGGCGAGGCCCTGGGGACCCGGGGACAAATGAGACAGCACAGTTTCAATTTCACGCATTTGCTCCCTCCACCTTCCCTCACTGAGGCTGTTGCCTCTGTGCTCGGCGCTGGGCGTGATCCTAATTCTGATGAGAGGTTGTATTTCTTGAGCTCTCACTGTGCCAGGCGCTGCTCTAAGTGCTCGCACGTGTGGTAAATCACCACTCCTGCCCCCTCTCCTGTGAGAAAAGGCAGGGGACACCCAGAAGGTGGTATGCTGCATTCAGAGCCAGGTCAGAGGCTGATCTTGGATACTCCACTGGCCAGAGATGAGCCGTGGTTTGTGGTGATGGTGGGGGTGGGTGCAGGATCCTAGAGGCAGACTCCGGAGCAGCCGGCCCGAATGTGCTCATCGAGCAGTCTGTGCCAACCCAGTGGCACCCAGGGAAAGATGGTCTGGGTACAGGAGGCCCCTGCTGGCCGAGGTCAGTGCTCAAGCAGATGTGTCCCCTCTCCCAGGGTCCCAGGGACACAGAAGGGTAATTCCCTGTGCTTCTTCCTGGGACAGACCCACGTATCCTAGCCTCCTCCCAAGGCTGACCTTCTAGTCCCTTCTCCCTCTCTGGTTCCTCCCGTCCTGGCTTCCCCGTCTGCCTCTCTCCTGCCCTGGCCTGCAGTTCACAGATCTCTCTCTCTGACTCCCTCTCTTGGCGTTTCCCTGCACCCCACAGAGGGAGGCATATTTTGCACAGATGCGCCGGGCTCACCAGGTAGGCCAGTGATCTGAGTGGTGTGAAATGGATGTGACACGGTCATGGTGTTTTTGGGTGCTGTCAGTCCCGCATGGGGAAATGCCCAGGCCCCAAGGAAGTGTGGGTTTGCATGAACCCAGGCAGTGCCCGATGGCCCCGCAGTCAGGGCACCGGTGTGCCCCAGCCCTGCGGTGCCAGGAATTAGAGCTAGGAGGGTGTGCGCCGCATCTGCTCCTGTGGTCGGGTCCTGGTGCCTGCTGGCTGTGGCCAGGGTGGTGGCAAGGAAGCTAACTCGATGCTAAACCACGTGACTGTCCCTTGCCCACCAGGTTACCCTAGCACTGCCTCCCCAGCAACCTCCATTAACCCTCCGTGTGCCTATGTCCCCTCGGTAGCCTGGAGTTAACCCCCGCGTGCCAGCCTGGAGAGGGGAGTCTGCATCTACCTCCCCAGTCAGTGTGGGCCTTTCTAGGGGCTCCCCGGGGCTCTGACGCTGGGGCCCGGGGAGGTCTGAGCTGGCCTGTGCCCTCCACCCATCAGAACCGCACGTCCCTCTTAGAGGAGCAGTTGCGGATGGCTGTGACAGCTGGGAGGACCATGGGGCCTCCAGAGAGCAGGGCCCGGGCCCAGCGGCTATCACAGGTAACTCAGGGCCTGGCCGGGACAGGCTGTGTCTGGGGCCCCATGCAGACCAGAGAGTATAGTTCAAGCAAGAGCCTTGAGCTGAGGCCCTGGCCTTCCTGAGCCCTTTGCCCCCATCCCAGGCCCCAGCCTAATGCCAGGCCACTCCAGTGTTGCCCTTGGGAAACATCCCAGAGCTCTGAATGGCTTGGGCTGGTGCTATGGGCATGGATGGTAAGTGAGGCCCAAGGAGTGGCCTCCCCAACCCCAAAAGCCCCTTGGGCCGCCTCCAGCCACTCTGGCCTGAGCTGGACAGAGCCATCTGACTGTGTCTTGCCAGAGGGTATCCTCTGTACGGGCCTCTCCCCACAGTCACCTGGGCCCATCCCAGGATAACCGCGCCCCCCCCCCCCGCCCCGGTTCATAAGACCAGAAGGCCAGGCCCTTGTAAACAGTTAGCACAGAACTAGGGGCCTCACTGGGCCTGGTGCGGCCTGACGGGAGGCAAGACAGCATGGTGTCCTTTCTGTCCCTCCCTGCTCCTTTCCTCTGTCCTCCCTCTCCCGGCCCCCCAGGTGGATGAGGCCCAGAGGCGGAGGGATGCTGAGATCTGGCAGCTCCTTTCCAGCTTTGCTGCCCACCCCCAGCCCCCAGCCCCGGGGCTCTTGCCCTACCCCGAGCCTGCAGCTGTTCTGCAAGTAGCTCCACTTTCTTCCTCCTCCTCTTCAGCTTCTGTCCCATCCCCAGCAGGCTCTCAGGTATGTGCCAAGGCACCCACCAAGAGACCCCCCCCCCACCTACCGTGTTTTCTAGACCAGTTGTTTCTAAACCAGTCTCACAACTTCTGCCATTTCTGCCCACTACCTGGATCATTTACTTCAAATTGTTCTTTAATTTATTTTTTTTAAGATTTTATTTTTTTTTTTAAGCAAACTCTACACCCCATGTAGGGCTCAAACCCACAACCCCAAGATCAAGAGTCACGTGCTCCAATGACTGAGCCAGCCCAGGGGGCCCTCAAATTTCCCTTTAAATCAATCACATACCAACTCATTTGTGCTGGTCATACATTTTCCAGTACACAATACCCACGAGATTTTAAAATGTTTTCTGGCGTGCCCTAGAAGTCATCGTGGGGTCCCAAGAGGCACACAGCAGACACGAGGAGACAGCAGCCCCACCACCCTCAGTGAGAGCAGTGGAGGTGGTGTCTGGGTCCAGGGATGGGGAGCAAGTTGTCCCAAGAGCAGGGCCAGAGCTTGAGCTTCAGGCTGGGGGCTCCTGCTCCCGCCCCCCACCCCCCCCCCCCCCCCCCCCCCCCCCCAGCAGTTCTCACCTCCTATCCTTCTGTCGTAGTTCTCTCTCTCCTATGAAGGCTTCTCTCTGCTTCCTGGGAGCCTCTATTATTGGCAACTGCCCCAAGCCTTCCTGGGGAACAAGGTAACAAGGAGTCGGGGGGTAGCAGGGTATCCGAATCCCACAGTATTCGAGAGCCCTTTGTCAAAGCTCTTTATGACCAGAAAGGGGAAGGGATTTGCCTGGGGTCCCACGTGGGGCTGAGACGGTCTCACCCACAAGGCTTTACCGTGTATCCAGATCACCGACCTGGCCCCTGGCTCTGCATGCATTCCTTCAAGGAGCATTAATTTAGCACTTCCTATGCGCTGTGTTGTGTATGGACAGAAGACGACCCTGGCCCCCCACAGCACGCTGTTCATCTGATTGTCATTCCTGCCCTCAGCATCATCGATGTCATTGTTGTTACCGTTGGCTTTCATGTTAGGATTGACATAGGCTCCGTCTTCTTCCAAAAACAAAAGTGCCTCTTAAGAATACACATGATATGCAATAAAATATTCAAAGAAGCCAATAGGACAGCGTGGTCCAGGGGGAATGAGGATAAGAAAGATGGGCTAAAGCCGAGGCTGGAGCCGGGAGTCCTGAGAAGCTGACGAGCCTGCTGGCCGTGCACTGCATGGGCTCTCTGCTCAGGGCAGTGCTTTATACAACCTGTGTTACTTCATCTTCACGCTGCCTTTCAAGCTATTTTTTACTGCCATTTCCAGCTGAGGGAAGTAGGGCTCAGAGAGGTTAAGTGAGTTGTCCAAGGCTGCCCAGCCAGGACAGCTGGACTTGAACTTGAGAGTCTGCTCCCTGAGCCACCCTCCTGCACACGCATGCAGCTTGGTCCTGGATGTGGCGATGAACTTGCCCGCAGCCAAAGCAAGCGGGAAACTAGTTGTTTCGTGGTTATCCAGTTACACCTCTGAGTTCCTTACCTGACTCTGAGCTTGTAGAGAACATCCTCAGGATCGAGGTAGCTCACACCCGGCCTGGCATGTAGCCAGTAGGCATTTAATAAGTGCTCACCAACTGCATGAACACACGAACACATAGGCCAGGCCTGACACACTGGTGTTTTCTGAACATGTGCTCAGGTGGCAGACGAGAGAAAGTCCTGGGATAGAGCCAGGGCCTTGGCTGCCCCGTGAAAGCCCCCAGCAGGAAGCCCAAGGACTCTTCCAGTTATGAGCAACAGAAAACCCAAGTCCAGCTGGCTTGTATGAGACAGAGAATCTATCGGCTCCCATAACTACAAAATCCAAGGATGCTGGCATCAGGCATGGCTGGGTCCAGGGGCTCCTTAGGACTTTCATCTCAGTTGGTGTCATTCTCTGGCTTCTAATCTAACTAGTAAAGGGAGTGTCTCTGTTCCAGTGGAAAGAGCAGGTTTTTGTGTCCATCCCCGACCGAGTGGAAGGGAGAGTGGTAGAATATGCACCTTCACCAGACCTGGCTCATGCCTGCCCTCAAACCTCTGGCCTGCACGTTAGGACAGAGCTTCCTTTAAAGGAAACCAGGGCTACGGTTTGCAAAAAGCGGGGTAGTGGATTCTAAGCAGACAAAAACCAGCTGCCCAAGAGACAAGACCTCTGAAGGCCCACCCTCAGCCCTAGCCCCATGGCTGGGAACTTTTGAACCTTCCGCGGCCTGTTCGTGATGGTTACTGTTAGTACCCCGGTCTACTCTATGGGAGGTTTCTTCAAGTGGAAAGGGGCTTGAAGCTCGTTTGCTGAGTCGTCAGGGCTGCTCAGGGTCCCTGCCAGCAGGTCCAAGACTGTGAAGGAACTGAGGGATGTCCTGTCTCCTAGGCAGCCAGAGGCCATGCACAAGGGCCTCTGGTTGAATGGAGGGGACAGCAGAGGTGCAAAACCACCTTGAGAGGCTCCGCCCACTGGCCAGTAGGGTCACTGAAGGCAGAGTCAGGCTGTGACTTCAGGGCTTGCCTCTTTGCAGGTGGCGGCTTACGGCGGGAAGCTGCGATATACCCTCTCCTACACAGCAGGGCCGCAGGGCAGCCCGCTCTCTGACCCTGACGTCCAGATCACGGTGAGCACATGGATTCCAGCCAGGGGGGCACCCTCAGTGTCCTTTCAGCCCAGCCCCTTGCTGGCCCGGCACGAGCTGGGGGGCAGAGGCCCATGCCCTCCCACCCTCACCGTCTGGTTAGACACTACCCAGGCAGAGGCCCAGCTGCTGGGAGAAGGGCGCAGTGAGCACGTACCTGATTCCTTTGGGCACATGGGCTTGGGAAATGAGAGAGGTGGGAGGCTGGTGTGTCGGAGAGGCTGGGACTGGTGGAGGACTCCTCTGTCCCCAAGAGCCCCTTGGTTCCCCTCCCAATCCCGCTACTATCTCCGCAGGGCAACAACATCATGCTGGTGGCCTCCCAGCCGGTGCTGCAGGGCTCCGAGAGGAAGAGCTTCGAGATCGTCTTCCGAGAGGTGAGGGGCGCCCGACCACACCGTGTGGCTGACCCTCCCCCACCACCCACCCTGCTTCGGAGCCCGGCTCTGACGCCAGCTACCCCTGCCTATCCCCAGCCAGTGCCTGGAGTTCGGGGGTTCTGGTAGGGGGAGCTGCGGGAATAGCCCGCAAAGCCCAACACCCCTCACGCACACTTGCTGTTGTCCCCCACCCAGGAATTCTGGCGCCGGCCTGATGGGCAGCCGGCCACGCGGGAGCACCTGCTGATGGCACTGGCTGACCTGGATGAGCTTCTGGTCCGGGCCACGTTCTCCTCGATGCCACTGGCAGCCAGCATCAGCTCCGTCAGCCTGGAGGTGGCCCAGCCCAGGCCCTCGGAGGGACCCCGGGCCCTGGAGGTGGAGGAATGCCGTTGTCCCCCGGGCTATGTTGGTTTATCCTGCCAAGTGAGTGTGGCCAGCCCCGGTGCCTCTGCCTCTAGTCCCGCTGGGTCAGCAAGCTGGCCACAGCTGGTATCTCCGTGGCCTGGGATGACTGCCGTAACGGTCGTGTACCATGCGTGCCGTGTCGCATTTATTCTTCCTGACCACCCCCGAGGGATGTGGAATTATCCCCTTTGAACAGATTCTGTTTGAATAGAGGCTCTGAAGGGTGAGTGGCTTACCCAAGGCTAAGACCCAGCTCTTCCTCCCGGGGTACCCCCCAGAGAGAGGGAGACAATACCAGACACAAATTACCCTTGGCCAAAGCAGAGCATAGACGCCTCAAGGAGGTCAACAGTGTGGAGCAGGGTAGAGTTCTGGGCAGAAGCTCAGAAGGAGGAATGTATGGGGAAGTAGCCTGTGATGCAGAAGGATCCCCCCTGGAAAGCTGGGGGTGGGGGGCAGGGGCCACTTCCTTAGGCCCAGAACAAGGCTCCGATCAGTAGGGAATGCCAGGCTGTGAAGGGAGTGCTATGATCTGTGCTGGGCCTCAGGAAAATTCCTCTGGCCTGGTGAATGACCCCAGTGGAGTCCTGTTTAGAGGAGGGCCGTGGGGGTGGAACAGAGGGCATCCCAAGGCTTTGGCTGGAGACCATGCAGAAGTTTCTAGGCACACAGCAGGCGACCGGTCCACACTGGATGAGTGAGCTAGGAACGGAGGAAGGGGAATGGAACGAGGGGAGGGGACAGAGCTGCGATGCCAGGTGGGCAGCCTGAAGGTCAAGTGTGGGACCAGCCAGCGCCCACACTCGGGAACTCCCCTGTGGAAAGTACACACATCTCCGCCGTTTCGCATCCGGGCACCTTTGCTGTGGCCACAAGAACTTTCAAATCCAAATACGAACTTCGCATCCTTTGAAGTGAGAAAATTTCGCACGTTTTGAAGGAGAAGCCCTGGGGAGAGCAGCATAATCCCGTGTGCACATTTTCTGCAGTGAAGCAACGCAGATTTCCAAACATCCCTTTGAAATGACTGGGGAGGGAGGGCGGCCTGGTGGGGTTTCAAGGGAGGGGTAGTGAATAGACATTCTTTGTTTTCAGAACCCATGATTACTCACTTAGAATGTGTAAAAACATCCTCCATTGAATGTGTGCTGCCTCTTTCACTTCATTTACTGAATGTAAAGGTGAAGGTGAAGACCTCCAAGGGCTCGTTCCAAATCTGGGTCCCCCGAACCTTGTGTTTTCATCAAAGAATTCAGTTTTTTGGTAGAGACCCTGCCAGAATTTTCAGGAACCGAAAGGGCAAATGGAGAAGGGTTCTCCATTAAGGGTGAACTGCTATTTCTGTAACTCCTGAGCGGCTGGAGGTGCCAGGCAGGATGGGGACAGACACTGTCCCAGCTTCCGGAGTGTTGAGAAAGAGCACACAAGGACAGGGAGGAAGGTTCCAGAGAGAGGAGGCTGTCGGGGAGGGGAACTGGGCCTGGGATTTCCCAGCCTAGAGCCAATGGGAGTCCAGACCGGAGAGCCGCTGGAGGGAGAGGATTCCGGTCTGTAGGTTCCAGATGGAACGACAGTGCAGATAGAGACCAGCCCCCCTCTCTCCCCAGGACTGTGCCCCGGGCTACACGCGCACTGGCAGTGGGCTCTACCTCGGCCACTGTGAGCTGTGTGAATGCAACGGCCACTCAGACCTGTGCCACCCAGAGACGGGGGCCTGCTCGGTAAGCTGCACGTGGGGCGGGGGTCACTTTGTCCGGGCCCGGGTGGGGCACCGGGGATGCCTGGGAGGCAGGGAAGGGTTACCTTGGTCAGGTAGGCCTAGGTCCAGGGGCAGGGTCTCAGGGCATGGCCTATGGACAAAGCGCCTGGACCAGCGGTCTCTTTGCTGGGGGAGGGGGGGGGCTGGCAGCCAGAACGAGGGCGTAACATCTTTCTCTATAAAGAAAACTCTGGTTCCTGCTCTGTCCTCTTACTAGAGGACTTGTTCTCTGTGGAGGCCTCAGGCTACAAAGACAAGCCAAAAAGAAAGTAAAAATCCCTTATAATCCTACCACCTGGAGGTAATCACGGGCCCCATTAGTGTGGGTGGAACTCTTTTGTTCTTTTTCTGGGCAAATATTTACACATATCAATATGCCTTTTGTTTTACAAATAAACATGGCATCATTGTGTTTGATGATCAGCTTTTTTGCTTACAAGTTCATGAACATCGGTCCAGATCATTAAACACTTGTCTGGGAACTTTTCAGAATGGGGGGTGTGTGTGTGCGCGCGCGTGCGCGCGTGGATGTGTGTCTGTGTGTGTAGAGCCCCCCAGGGTCAAGGGCTGGGTGGTTGACAGACCCACAGCTAAACACAGAGCAAGGAACAGGCTCTGTTAATAAAACGAACATGGATCTCATTGGAGGAGAACATAAAACCCGCACATACTTTTATGATGAAGCAGGAATTACAAAGCTCTGCCCCCACCTACCCAGGTATATACCTTCACTTTTCTCTGATATCACAGGTGTTTGGGTAGAAAAATATAAGAAGTACATTCAAGGGCATCTCCTTCTCCCTCTGCCCCTCCCCCTGCTCACGCTCTCTCTCGCTCACTCACTCTCAAGTAAATAAATAAAATCTTTTTTTAAAATATTTTATTTACTTATTTGACAGAGAGAGGGAGGGAGAGAGAAAGCACAAGCAGGGGGAGGAGCAGAGGGAGAGGGAGAAGCAGGTTCCCCGCTGAGCAAGGAGCCCAATGTGGGTCTGGATCCTGGGATCCTGGGACCGTGACCTGAGCTGAAGGCAGACACTTAACTGACTGAGCCACCCAGGTGCTCCAATAAATAAAATCTTTTAAAAAGTACAATCAACATCATCCTTTTTAAAAAAAAAAAATTTTTTATTGGGTTGCTCAGTCAGTTGAGTGCCCAACTCTTGGTTTCAGCTCAGGTCATGATCTCAGGGTTGTGGGATCGAGCCCCGTGTTGAGCTCTGTGCTCAGCACAGAGCCTGCTTGGGATTCTGTCCGTCTCCCTGCCCCCTGCCCCCTCACTGTTTACATACACTCGCATGCACATGCATGTTCGTGTGCTCTCTCTCTCTCTCAAATAAATATTTAAAAATTTTTTCGATTAAATTTTTAATTTTAATTCCAGTATAGTTAACATACAGTAATATATTGACATCATCCTTTTTGATAGCTATGGGGGTGGATGTTCATTGTAATTCATCCAGTTCCCTGTTCATGTTTGTTTCTGGCATTTTGCTGTTATAAACACCACTGAGTTAAACATTCTGTAGTGAGATCTTTGTGCCATTCTACATTTCTTTAAGATAGGCTCACAAACATGGAATTTCCAGATCCAGGGATTACAAAATTGTATAGTTTCTGGTAAACGTGGCCAAACGGCAAGCGGCCGACGTTCTTGTGCCCTGTAGCAGTGCCAGCACAACGCCGCTGGGGAGTTCTGTGAGCTGTGTGCGCCTGGCTACTACGGAGACGCTACCGCTGGGACACCGGAGGACTGCCAGCCCTGCGCCTGCCCACTCACCAACCCGGAGAACACGTGGGTGCCCTCACTCAAGGCCCACGGAAGCCCTCCCACTGGGGAGCGGAGGGACCAGGGGGGAGAGTGGGCATCCCATGGCCTGACCTCTGCCTCCCCTCTTCCAGGTTCTCCCGCACCTGTGAGAGTCTGGGGGCTGGTGGGTATCACTGCACGGCCTGCGAACCTGGCTACACTGGCCAGTACTGTGAGCAGTAAGTTTGCAAATAGGATGGATTGGGGGGTGGGGGTGGGCCTTTGGTAGACTCCTAGATGAGAGCCCTGGATGATGTTGCTCAGAAAGGTCCCGGCCAGGATCGCATCTCTCCCCTGCCCAAAGCCCTTCCAAGATTCCCCATTATCCTCGGGCCAAGCCCAAGCTCATCCTACTTTTGACACCCAAACCTACTGTAGGCGGGCTTAACCTCTTGACTTCTTGATGTTCAGGTCTTTCCACGTGCTGTTCCTCTACCTGGAACATTCTTCACCCTCAAGCCTCCCCTTTCTGGCTAACTCCTGTTTAGCCGTCAAAGCTCAGCTTCATTTACTCATTCAGCACGTTTTTATTGAGCATCTACTGTATGCCGTGTGGTGAGCCAAACTGTTGGAGATAAAGTGGTGAACAAAACCGATTCAGTCCCAGGCCTTAGGGAGTCTACCACCTGTCACGGAAGTCGGGGCAGCAAGTAATCATACAAATACATCATTACGGGTAGTGGGGAGCTCTCTGGAGTACAGTCTGCTCCAAAGGAATATAACAACTCAGCAGTGCCATCCTCTGGGGAGCCTCTTGATTCTCACGGCTGGGTCAGTGCCCCTCGTCTGTGTCCCTCACTCTCATTTACATAGTTTCCATGTTGGTCTCCCCACAACTGAGTTCTAAAAGAGCAAGAGCTTCATCATGTTCACTGTCATATTTTCGTAGCCTAGCATCGTAGTCGCTTAATAAATGTGTGTTGAATGAATGTTTCCCTGGAGAATAAAGGCCTTATTAGCCCGGTATCCAGCCTGCCGACATTGTCCTGTGCTCCCCTTTCTCAGCACAGTGAGGCCCCATGTTGGGGCCTCTTTGGTCTCTAAAGTCCTTCCAGAGTTGTGAGCCTCCCCACCCCACACTGGGTCCACCCCCATGGGCTTCTGGCTCCCCAAATCCACCGTGAGGCTCTGAGTCCCCTGGGGCCTGGGGCCTGACAGGGCTGGGCTTTGTTCCTCCTTACAGATGTGCCCCAGGTTACGTGGGTAATCCCAACGTGCGGGGGGGCCGGTGCCTGCCACAAGGTAAGTGGGATCATGGCCCCAGGTGAGGGGGGTGGGCAAGGTGCTGAGCCTAGGGGGTTTGAGAGCTACTACATCCAGGGGAGACAGGGCTGAGGGTGGGGCATGCCAGTATTTGGGGAGACAGGCAGACCTGACCCAATGCCGCATGCTGGGAGCCTCCTGCCTGAACGGTCTCTCCTGTCCTTCCTCCAGCAGATGCAACCCCGCTGGTGGTCCAGGTGCATCCAGCTCGGAGCATAGTACCCCAAAGTGGCTCCCACTCCCTGCGGTGCCAGGTCACTGGGAGCCCACCCCACTACTTCTACTGGTCTCGTGAGGATGGGCGTCCCATGCCCAGCAGCACCCAGCAGCGACATCAAGGTACCCAGGGCCCCAGGCCCCTCAGCCCTGTGAGCCACCCCAGTGGGAGGAGAGGCACAGGCCTGTTTACTGGGATCCTGTCCTTACACGCAGGGCCGGGTGGGAGAAGGGGTGCATCTGCCCTGACGAGCTCCCATCCGCTCCCCACCAGGCTCTGAGCTCCACTTCCCCAGCGTCCAGCCCTCGGATGCTGGCGTCTATATCTGCACCTGTCGTAATCTCCATCACGCCAACAGCAGCCGGGCAGAGCTGCTGGTCACTGGTGAGTCCCTGCTCCCCGCCTCCCCAGGCCTGCCTGTGCATGGCTGGCCTGTGGACACAGGCAGCGGGCATGTTCCCTGCTGGAGGGGGTGGTGGTGCTCGGATGGGGGTGCTGGCCATGGAGATGGAGAGATGATAGAGTAGAGGCAAGTTTTAGAGGCAGAATTGGCAGGACGTGGTTGTGGTCATTGGGGGAGAAAGAAAGGCTAGGCTGATGCCCAGGGGTCTGGACTCCAGCAGGTAGGCAAATGAGGTGCCCTTTACTGAGCTGAATAGGCTCAGTAGGAGAGTGTTTTCCTTGGGGCTCCCTCAAAGTTGAGTCTGCGATGAGCATGGGCATGCCAGTAGTTTATCTGGGAGGTGAGGTGAGGCAGGAAAGAGAAGGCATCCCATAAAGGGCATGTTACCGAGCACGTTCCCACTGTGGGCAGTTGTTAAAGGCAGCCAAAGAAATTCTGGGAAACTCTACAGTAAAATATGCACCTTGGAGTCACCCTACCCCAGGGTCAATTGATCGAGGCCTCTTCTAGGAACACCAGATCCTCTGCATTCTGCACCACCTCGGGGGGGGGGGGAGGGGCACAGGAGTCTCCAGTGACCCGAGAAAGACGATGTCAGGCATAGAAATGCATCGGCTGGCAAAAGTCAGGCAGCTGGGCTCCGAAGTGACAGGGCATGGGGACATGGGCGGGGCACCAGCAGCACCTGCTATGGACAGTTCAGAGAGCATCACAGGGTGAGTTTTGGACTCGTTGACCCTGGAGGGATTTGAGAAAACATCTAAGCAGGTACATCAGGCAGGTGTTTGGGAATGGGAGTCTGGAATTCAGGAAAGAGGCCCCGGCAGAGAAATGAATTTGAGAACTCTTGGCACAGAGATGGTGTTGTGAAAGCCATGGAACAGAATGAAATTAGCCAGGGAGAGCGTGGCTCAAGGACAGGGCCTGCGGAGCCCCAAGGAGCTCCAGCTGGAACATGTCAAGCCGAAGGGGGGGACAGCAGGTGCAGCCAGTAAGATAGGAAGGGAGCAGGGGACGTGGTGTGTTGGGGGTCATGGGGAGAGGGGACTTCAGGGAGGGCGTGGTAGGAAGCCACCCCCGGGGAAGTCAGATGTGGGCAGAGAGGTGACCCTTGGAGGTCATGCTTTGACAAGAGCCATTTTCAGTGCAGAGGAGGGGTAGAAACCAAACTGGAGGGAGGCAAAGAATGGTGGGGAAGGCCAAACGTAGACAGCAAATATAGACAATGCTGTCAAGAGTCTTGGCTCTGAAGGAAGGCCAAGAAATGGGGCAGTAGCTGAGGGGAGTATGAGGTCAAGGGAGTGTTTTCGAAGGTAGGAAATTCTAGAATGATCCATGGAGAGAGAGAGCAGGGACTGATGTCGCAAGAGAGTGCACAGCCCCTGGAGGAAGTCCTGGGGAGAGGATGGAAGGACAGAATGGAGCTGGGTGATGGGAGGGGAGGCTCTCATCCTGCAGGGACCAGGCAGAAGGGTTTGAGAAAATGGGCGAGGTCCCTCCTGGTAGTTTGGACTTCCCCAGCAAGTGTGGATCGACGCCCTTAGCTGTGGAACTGGAAGGGGGTGCAGGCGGGTGGAGAGGTTGGGAGGAGGTGTGAAATCGCTGGGGAGAATGGAAACTCCCACCGGACAGAGGAGCCCGGCTGGAGGCGAGCATGAAGTGTTAGGGCAGATCTGTGGTCTGGATCCTGCAGTGGAACCAGATGGGCTCGTGGCGTGGTGCTCCCTGAGCACAGCCTGTGGCTGCTCAGTGCCAGCAGGAAGGTGGACCGTGGGGCTGAGCCAGGCCAGGGGAGGGGGGCACAGGGAACACAGTGGAATGGAAGCTAGCCTGGGACGGAAGCACCTCCCAGACAGGATGATGGAGAGAGAGAGAGAGAGAAAGTGGCTCCAGGCCGAGGGCCCAGCCAGCACCCAGCTCACAGGGCCCTCCCGTCCCCACAGAGGCTCCCAGCAAGCCCATCACGGTGACGGTAGAAGAGCAGCGCAGCCAGAGCGTGCGCCCCGGAGCCGACGTCACTTTCATCTGCACGGCCAAGAGCAAGGTGGGCAGAGCTGGGCATGGACCTCAGGGAGGGAGGCTCCGCCTTCCGGTGGCTCCCGGCTTCACCTCTGACCTCCAGTCCATCCTCCCGGCCCCGCCCACAGTCTCCGGCTTACACCCTGGTTTGGACCCGCCTGCACAACGGGAAGCTGCCGGCCCGGGCCATGGACTTCAACGGCATCCTGACCATTCGCAACGTCCAGCCGAGTGACGCGGGTACCTACGTGTGCACTGGCTCCAACATGTTCGCCATGGACCAGGGCACAGCCACGCTGCATGTGCAAGGTACACGGGTCATTTCCATGCCTGGCCCACCGCCCCCACCCCACCCCCCGCAGCCTTCCCCCATGCGCACCAGGTCTAGCGACTGTGTCTTCATTCACCTGACAGTTTGTGACCATCTACGGAGTGCTAGGTCCTGGCTAGACTCTGAAGAAATGGGGGAGGGGACAAACGGGAGCTCTGCCCTCCTGCACCGGCTGTTCTGATAGGGATGCAGTAAGCCTGGGAACAAACGAACAAGCAGTGTAATTTCACGTGGTGATGAGGGCTGAGCTCGGAATAGACCTCCCTGAGGTGGGAGAAGGCTGGCTACTGTCCGCGGGGTGGTCAGGCTGGGCCTCTCTGAGGAGGTGACATCTGGGCCAAGAGCTGAAGGAAGTGAAGGTGTTCGGCCACTTGAAGAGCTGGCAGAGTGTTCTTGGCAGAAGACGCAGCATGGGCAAAGGCCCTGAAGCAGGAGCATTTTGATGTGTTTGAGCCCTGGCAGGGCCAGCATAGCTGGAGCTACGGAAGGGGGGTAGGTGAGGAATGTAAAAGATGTGAGCAGAAGTGGATCACAGCAGGGAGTTCGGATTTTATCCTAAAAGCTCTAGGGGGCCACGGAGGGGCCTGAAGTGGAGAAGTATGAAGATCCCATGGACATTTTCAAAGCTCCCTGTGGCTACTCTATGAACAGACGGCCATAGGGGGCTAGAGTAGAAGCAGAGAGAGCAACAAGGGGGACGTTCCCCACCCTGACTGCATCCTCCCTCTCCTCCCCCGTCAGCCTCGGGCACCCCGTCCGCCCCCGTGGTTTCCATCCACCCACCACAGCTCACCGTGCAGCCTGGGCAGCTGGCTGAGTTCCGCTGCAGCGCCACAGGGAACCCCACACCCACCCTCGAGTGGACAGGTGAAGCCAGGCAGGACTGCCCTCAGGGCCCGCTGCTCCTGGATGGGGGCGGGGGGGGGCAGTGGTCAGGGGCAGGACTCGAGGCTGTGGGGTCTGCAAGCCAGGGGGCCGGGCCTGGCCTTGCCAGTCCCAGTGGGTGCTGACCCCACCTCTCTCCATCAGGGGGCCCTGGGGGCCAGCTCCCTCAGAAGGCACAGTTCCACGGCGGCATCCTGCGCCTGCCGGCCGTCGAGCCCTCGGATCAAGCCCAGTACCTGTGTCGTGCCCATAATAGCGCCGGGCAGCACGTGGGCAGGGCCGTGCTCCACGTGCATGGTGAGGGGACGGGGCTGAGGGCGGAGCTTGGGAGCACCTGGGTGGTCCAGAGGGATGTTCTCACGGGGTTCTGTGCACAGGGGGCAGCGGGCCCAGGGTCCAGGTGAGTCCAGAGAGGACTCAGGTGCACGAAGGCCGCACCGTCAGGCTATACTGCAGGGCCGCAGGTGTGCCCAGCGCCACTATCACCTGGAGGAAGGAAGGGGGCAGCCTCCCCCCACAGGTGAGGAGATCTATCTGGGCCAGGCCCGCAGGCTCAGCAGAGTCCCAGCACCTGCCACCTTCGCTTCCTGCCTTCCTGCCTCCGTTCCCTTCCCCATCTCCTCCCCTCCTGGTTTTCCTCACGTGCAGAATGACAGCCTGCTCAGACCACCCGTCCAGTGTACCCTGGCCATGAGCAGCCATCGGCCTCTTGCTTTGCCACCTGGCTCTGCCCTCCGTGTCCAGCTGGGCCCTAGTGTTGGCTCTGTGCTTGCCTCTACCTTTCATGCCCCCCTGCCCCCCCTCGCTGGCTGGCCCTCTGCAGGCTGCCTCGCCCCCGCGGGTGGCTGACCCCTCTTGCTGTGCGCAGGCCCGGTCCGAGCGCACGGACATCGCCACGCTGCTCATCCCGGCCATCACGGCTGCCGACGCCGGCTTCTACCTCTGCGTGGCCACCAGCCCCGCGGGCACTGCGCAGGCCAGGATCCAAGTGGTTGTCCTTCCAGGTGCGGGGCCTCTGGGGACTGAAGGAGTGGGGAGGGCAAACCTCGGGGAGGGCTCCCCAAGGCCGACTCCATCCCCCTCTGGCCCCAGCCTCAGGCGCCAGCTCCCCACCCGTCAGAATTGAGTCCTCATCACCGTCCGTGACTGAAGGCCAGACGCTGGACCTCAACTGTGTGGTGGCAGGGCTGGCCCACACCTCCGTCACGTGGTACAAGCGAGGAGGCAGCCTGCCTCCCCACAGCCAGGTATGGGGGAGTCCCTGAGCCTCTGGCAGGGCACCTGGGGGTGATCCTTCACACAGCCCCGACGCTCTCCTCAGGCAGCAACCAGCCCTGATTTCCTTCCCTATCCAGCTCCCGTCATGGGGCAGCTCGGAGCGGAGCCAGGGAGAGCCTGATGAATGACTCACCAAGGCTCCGAGGGCGTGGTGGCTACAGCCCTCCCTCATCCTCACCTCCCTCTGTCCCACCCTGTCCCAGGTGCGTGGCTCCCGGTTACGGCTTTCCCAGGTCTCACCGGCTGATTCTGGAGAATACGTATGCCGAGTGGAGAACGAGTCAGGCCCCAAGGAGGCCTCCATCATCATCTCTGTCTTACATAGCACCCACTCAGGCCCGAGCTACACCCCAGGTGAGGAGCCAAGCGGGGCCAGGCAGGGGCCGAGCCCTAGGATCTCCCCACTGTTCCCAGGGAAGGTGTCTGTGGTCTCTTCGGTAAGATGAGGACAAGAAGGGGTGCTCTAGGCAGGCTTTGGGGATGTGAGGGCACTGAGAGTGGGTAAGGTTGATGTGGCTTACCTGGGGCCTCACGATGAAGTTACTGTTTCAGATTTCATCAGGAAGCGGCAGAGTCAGGATTAAACTGAGTTGGGAGTCAGGCTGACCTGGATTTAAATCCTCCTTCTAACTTTTATCAGTCTCGAACTAAGTTATGTCACGTTTTAGGGCTCAGTTCCATCATCTGTGAAATGGGGACAATAGCACTACCACGTGGTGTGAGCAGATGATAAACACTGTCTAGAAGAGAGTTGTAACGTTATTGTCTGCATCCGTTGGTCCGGCCTGGGCACTGAAGGGCTTTGGTTGCCTGTAGGCCGCAGCAGCTCATCACAGATCAGGAAGCCATAGGTGGACAAATGGGCCTTGAATTCGAAGCTGGAGGTGGGTCAGGGAAGGAGGGGCCTGACTGACCATGCTGAGATAGAAAAGCATGGTCCCAGCCTTAGAAAGGCCTCCCATCTGCCCTCCCAAGCTAGGGCTTGGTCCTATCCCAGGGCGCTCTGCCCCAGGGCTCCGGGACTGTGGCTCAGGAGCCCAGGCCCCTTACTAGTTCCTCTGTGCCAGTTCCTGGAGGAGGCCCTCTGGGCAGCTCCCAGCTCATCCGCATCGAGTCCTCCTCCTCCCACGTGGCCGAAGGGCAGACCCTGGACCTGAACTGCGTGGTGCCCGGGCAGGCCCACGCCCAGGTCACGTGGCACAGGCGCGGGGGCAGCCTCCCCGCTCGGCACCAGGTACAGCAGTCCCCAGGACCAGCCTGCTAAAGGAGGGGTGGATAGGGCCCCTCCGGCCCCCTTCCAACCCTCCCTGTTTGCACGCAGACCCATGGCTCGCTGCTGCGGCTGCACCAGGTGTCCCCAGCTGACTCAGGCGAGTACGTGTGCCGCGTGGTCCTTGGCTCTGGGCCCCTGGAGACCTCTGTCCTGGTCAACATCAAGGCCTCCGGCTCCCCTGCGGGCTCCATCCCTGGTGAGTAACTGCCAAGGACAGGGCACGCAGGAGGGGCTGAGGGCCTTCCGAGGGGCTGAGGTCCTAGCGACTCTGCCTGCCATTGGGAGGGTGGGAGCAGGAGGCCCACACCGGAGCTGGCGACCGCTTCTCTGAGTGACCCGCCATTTTCCGGTCACTTTCGTCTAGCCACTCGACTGCCTCCTCTTCCCCTCCCCCAGCCTCAACTGCCCTCTTCTCCCCCCACTTCCTTGCTCCCTTCTGCGAGGCTTGGCCCCTGCCCTGGCCTTCTGCTCGGGGCGGCTCAGCTGAGGACATCAAGCCCAGGCCACCAAACTGCCAAACACGTGAGAGCCTGGCCGGGCTGGCTCTCTCTGAGGTGGACCCTTCTGGCCCTGTCTTCTGGGGGGCATCCGCTACCTTTGCTTCTTTCCCCACAGCCCCAGGACCTGTCCCACCTGTCAGGATCGAGTCCACCTCCCCCACCGTGGCCGAGGGGCAGACCCTGGATCTGAGCTGTGTGGTGGCAGGGCAGGCCCACGCCCAGGTCACGTGGTACAAGCGCGGGGGCAGCCTGCCCGCCCGGCACCAGGTGCGCGGTGGCAGAAAGGCGGGAGGGGCTGGCCAGGCCCAGCTCTGGGAAGTGAGTTGAGGGGGTCGGGGCCCTGGAGCTGAGCGGCTGGCAGTTCCCAGCTCAGAGGAGCAGGGCAGAGGGGCATCTGCTAGGCTGTGGGGAGCCCTGTTCTCACACCCCTTTCCCTGGCTGCCCAGGTCCGCGGCTCCCGCCTGTACATCTTCCAGGCCTCGCCAGCTGACGCAGGCGAGTACGTTTGCCGGGCCAGCAATGGGCTGGAGGCCTCCATCACAGTCACAGTAACCAGGACCCAGGGGGCCAACTTCGCCTACCGTGAGTGGGGCCACCAGGTTGGGCTGGGACGGAAGACAGGGATAGGCGGGGGCGGCTGTAGAGAACTGGAGTGACCGCTGACCATCTTCTTTTCCAGCTCCGGCCGGCTCCCAGCCCATCCGCATCGAGTCCTCCTCCTCCCACGTGGCCGAAGGGCAGACCCTGGATCTGAACTGTGTGGTGCCCGGGCAGGCCCACGCCCAGGTCACATGGCATAAGCGCGGGGGCAGCCTCCCCGCCCGACACCAGGTACAGGCCTGGAAGATGGACAGGCCAAGAAAGGGATGGGAGGAAGGCCCTGGGTGGTGGCGGCCAAGAAGGGGGGGCACTGGAGGCTAGCTCCTTGGAGTCAGGGAAAGCCTTAGACCCCATTGCACAGGGGTCCAGTACAATGGTTAGAACCCAGACTCGAAGACTGGCCGGCCTAGGTGTGAATGCTGCTTCTACCGCTTACTAGCTTGTGACCTTGAGCGAGTTACTTAACCTCTCTGTGCCGTAGCTTCAGAGTCTGTAAAATGCTGTCTTACAGAATTGTCTTCAGGGTAAAGGGCCTTAATATATGTGCAAAGTGCTCAGAGCTCAGGCAGGTAGAAGTTGCTGAGCTGTTGTTCCCATAATACCATTATTAATATTACTGTGTTTTATACAGTCCAAGATGCTATCAATTGCAAGATGCATTATGATTTTTTGGTACCTCTAAGGAAAAAAAGCTGCCACTTTTAATTGTAAAATTATTCACTATAAGATGCATCCTGATTTCAGAAACATTAAAAAGTGTGTCTTAGCATCGATGGAAGGTGATATTAGTGCTTGACCAGTTCACCATAGCTCCTCCTGGCCACCTCCTACTCTTGGGACAAGTCTCTCCCTAAGCAGGACGGAGCTGATGGTCAGGCCCCAGGGGTCAGAGAGTGAGGCAGGCATGCAGGTTATGGGTACAGGGGTCCCGTGGGGGCCCCCTCTGAGCTCACCTCCATTCCGGCCAGACCCACGGCTCACTGCTGAGACTACACCAGGTGTCCCCAGTTGACTCGGGCGAGTATGTGTGCCGCGTGGTGGGTGGCTCGGTGCCCCTGGAGGCCTCTGTCCTGGTGACCATTGAGCCTGCAGGCTCTGTACCCGGTAAGCAGTCCTGGGGGTAGGGCAGGGCTAGGGGCCCAGCCGTGGGAAACACTGGCAGGATCCCACCAGACCAGTAGCCCTTATCTTCACTCACAGCCCACCCCCCCACCTCCTAGCCAGGAATTGACCCTCTGCCCTCTGTCCCCAGCACTGGGGGTCACCCCTCCTGTCCGGATCGAGTCCTCCTCCTCCCACGTGGCTGAAGGGCAGACCCTGGATCTGAACTGCCTGGTTGCTGGGCAGACCCATACCCAGGTCACGTGGCACAAACGTGGGGGCCGCCTCCCCGCTCGGCACCAGGTAGGAGGCAGGGAGCTAAGGGGGGACCTGGAAGACCCTGGTGACTACAGAGGAAAGTACACAGGCTTTGAATTCAGGCATATCTGAGTTCAGACACTGTCCTACCACTTGGCCTGCTGTGTGACTTTAGGCCGGTCATTTAACCTCCCTGATCCTCAGTGTCCTTCTCTGGTAGGTGGACTCACACTGCCTACCTCCCCTGCCCCAAAGCACATCAATGAATGTTGGTCACCCACTTCTTTTCATTGGGCCCAGTCCTGACACTGGGGCAGGGGAATCGACTGGTCACAAGGTGGTCTTTCCAGGAAGAGCTCCTCTCGAGTCCAGTTGACTCGACCGGGCTGGGAGCAGAGCCAGGGAAGGGAGCGGGAGTTTAGCTGAGAGCCCCAGGGCCTGACTCTGAGCCTGACTTCCTCCTGCCCAGGTGCATGGCTCAAGGCTGCGCCTGCCCCAGGTGACCCCAGCCGACTCTGGAGAGTACGTGTGCCGCGTGGTAAGCAGCTCGGGCACCCAAGAAGCCTCTGTCCTCGTCACCATCCAGCAACACCTTGGCCCCTCCCACCGTGAGTATCTCAGGGGTCATACCAAACGGTGGAGGGCTGCTCGAGCCACTCCAATCTCAGCGACTCCCACACCCTGCCTCCTGTCTTGCCCTCCCAGCCCAGGGTGTGGTGTACCCCGTCCGCATTGAGTCGTCCTCGGCCTCCCTGGCCAACGGACACGTCCTGGACCTCAACTGCCTGGTGGCCAGCCAAGCCCCCCACACCATCACCTGGTATAAGCGTGGAGGCAGCCTACCCAGCCGGCACCAGGTATGGAGGCATTGGGTGGGGATGCAAAAACTGGGCACACTGGCCCTGATGGCATTCAGGAGGGGCTGTCAACATCTTTGCTGTGCTCATTAGTCATTCAGCAAACTTTGAGCATTCTTACTTGACTGGCCCTGGACTGATGCTGAGGATACATATATCCTACTGACCCTAGTTGGATCCCGTATTTTAACAGAACATTCTATGATTTACTCACTCACTGAATGTCCCTGAGAATCTACTCCAGGCCAAGTCTGTACCTGGCACTAAGGATTCCAAGTGGGACGAGGCAGGTGCCTGGCCTCAGGGAGCTCACAGGCTAGCGGACGAGGCAGACACGCCTTGTGAGAGCAGTGTAATAGAAGCCATAGCCGGGCACTGTGGAGTCACCAGGGATGGCCTCAGCAGGCTTTTGGCCCAGGTGACAGGTGAGAACAGTACAGAGGCTAGAGGCACGGTCCACCCCAGCCTGGAGCCTCAGGAAGGCTGCTGAGGCAGTTCTGAAGGACGCCCGGGTGGCGGCCAGCCCGGGCGAGACGGCGAGGCTCCTGGAGTCTGGGGCGGCAGCCCCCGAGATGTGGACATGCTGCCCCCCACCCACTGACGGACACGTGCTCCCCCTCAGATCGTGGGCTCCCGACTCCGGATCCCCCAGGTGACACCAGCCGACTCGGGCGAATATGTGTGTCACGTCAGTAACGGTGGTGGCTCCCAGGAGACCTCACTTGTCGTTACCATCGAGGGCAGCGGTCCCTCCCACGGTGAGAGGGCACAGGGCAGGGGGTCCAGGCAAGTGGGTGCGGGGGGAGGCAGACTGGGCCCTGGCACCGTCACTGTTGCCTGACTCTGGCTATGTGGCCCATCCGTCTCTGTCTCAGTGCCCAGCGTCTCCCCGCCCATCAGGATCGAGTCCTCGTCCCCCACCGTGGTCGAAGGGCAGACCTTGGATCTGAACTGTGTGGTCGCCAGGCAGCCCCAGGCCACCATCACGTGGTACAAGCGTGGGGGCAGCCTTCCTGCCCAACACCAGGTAGAGTGGAGCCGGGCCAGTGAGGGCAGAACCCCTGCCCGCCGGGGTGGCATTGCAGGGACAGACCCCATGGGCAAAGAACCGGAAGTGAAGCCCTCGCTGGCAGTCCCGGGGCGGTCCTCCCTTCTGCCCTGGGTAGACAGCGGGTGGCCTCGGCAGGTCTGATGAGGGAGGCCTGGGAGGAGGCCTAAACCAGCTGGTGACTTCTTGGCCCCTCCACCCCTCTCACACTCCTTCCCCATCTGCTCCCAGGCCCACGGCTCCCGCCTGCGGCTGAACCACATGTCTGTGGCTGACTCGGGCGAGTACGTGTGCCGGGCCAACAACAACATCGATGCCCAGGAGGCCTCCATTGTGGTCTCAGTCTCCCCCAGGGCCGGCAGCCCCTCCGGTGAGTCTGACAAAGGCCCAGGAAGGGACCAGGAGACGCAGGTAACAGGGCTCCCCGGGGAGTCAGTCAGAGGTCTCACATGAGGGTGGCGGTCCAGGCCAAGGGCTCTGCAGCAAGATACCTGGGTTCCCGTCCTGCCTGCGCCACTGAGAGACTTGAGGGACTTCCTCTCCTCCCTCATCTTCATTCTCTCGTCAGCAGCGTGGGGATGCCGGTCATTCCAGCCCCATGTTGGTGTCCACTGTGGTGGCCACTGGCCACACCCAGCTGCCGTGGTGGGCAGTGCAGATGAGTGTTTCCACGATCACAGAAAGTTCGTGAAATCTATGAGGATTCTTTTTTAAAGATTTTATTTATTTATTTGAGAGAGAAAGAGCAGGAGCAGAGGGGGAGAGCAGAGGGAGAGGGAGAAGCAGACTCCCCGCTGAGCGGGGGGCCCGATGTACAGCTCAAGCCCAGGACCCTGGGATCATGGCCTGAGCCAAAGGCAGACACTGAGCCACCCGGGCGCCCCGATGACTTTTATGAGGATTAAACGAGTTCATACACGTATAGTGCTTACAGTGGTACTTGGCATGCCATACGTGCTTAGTAGGCGTTAACCATCGTTATTACCTTGGGCGACAGAGGTTTCTATGGCTGAGGCTCCTACCAGCCCAGTCGTTCCTAAATCTGCTTCTGTGCCCACAGCCCCTGGCGGTGCTGTGCCCATCAGAATCGAGTCCTCCTCCTCCCGCGTGGCCGAAGGGCAGACCGTGGACCTGAACTGCGTGGTCCCTGGACAGGCCCACGCCCAGGTCACGTGGCACAAGCGCGGGGGCAGCCTCCCCACTCACCACCAGGTATGGGAGTTGCAGGGCTGGATGTGGTGGGAGGGTGGCTGAATGTGGGGGCCCTGCCTAGGGGCCCCTCCCCCAAGATCTACTCAGGAAGGAGGCCGGCAGTCCCTAGGGGCACAGTGCCTGCCCAGGTCGGAGGTCAGACCTTGGCCCCAGCCTTCCAGGATTCTGCCTGCTCTCTCACTCTGCTCCTGTTTCCCCATCCTGCCCCTGCTCAGGCCCACGGCTCCCGGCTGCGGCTGTACCAGGTGTCCCCGGCTGACTCGGGCGAGTATGTGTGCCACGTGATGAGCGGCTCGGGTTCCCTGGAGGCCTCAGTCCTGGTCAACATCGAGGCATATGGCTCCAGCGCTGTTCCTGTCCCTGGTGAGGGTGCCTGTGGTGGGGCTGGGAGGCTGGAGAAGGGACGTGGCCGGGGGGGAACCAGCAGGCAGAGGTCGGGAGCCAGGTCAGGTAGGATGCCTAGGGCCTGAGAACTCGACTTGGGAGTCTGGCCTATGTGGGCTGGAGGCCCAGCTCCTCTCTCCACACTTTGTTGCGCAAAGGGACTCCGTGCCTCGCCTTCCTCATCCATAAAGTGGGGATAGCAGAACTCTTGCAACAATACGTGCGTTCCCTAAAGGCTGGAACTGCACCTCTATGGGTACGTGAGGGTGATCTGGAGCGGGGGGCCCTGATAAAAATCTTTCGTATTACCAGTGGTATATAAGAGAAAGATAGCCACATATGAAACCCGCCATGCTTTCAGGGAAATCATTGTCTACGACGGGGCTAAGTATTTACGGGTTTTGTTAAGTGAATCGTTTGACAGGAAAATATAAAATAATTTGTATGTGGCTATGGCAGACACGAACATAGTTTGGGAATTGCTGAGAAATAAATGTGATCTAGCACTTACGAGGTGCTGGGCCCTGTTCTGTTTACACGTTTAACCCATTTCATCCTCACAAAAACTGTTTGAGGTTGGTGTGACTGTTCTCCCCATTTTACAGATGGAAAACTGAGACGGAGAGGTGAAGTCACTCTCCGAAGGTCCTACAGCTAATAGATGGCAGACCTGGGTTTTGAACCCAGGTAGTCTGGCCCCCGAGTCTGGGTGCTTAGGCACACATTGCTCAAGTTTGAGAAAAAGAGTGATCTGTAGGGAGGTGCCTGGCCCTGGGCCCCGGCCACTGGTGGTGCTGGGAGCACAAGAGGAGACGGTGGGGCCATGGTGTGGGGCGTGCCATTTCCCCCAGGCCAGCCCAGCTGCCCCAGGCTTCACAGGAATGGGCAGTGGGGGCGGACCGAGGCCATCTCTCCATATGTGGTCTGGCCCCTGGTCTGAAAATCTGGGTGCCCAGGGGGTCAGGACTGAGGGCAGAGAGGTGGGAGTTCCAGCTCACTGACCTCTTCCTGTGCCTCAGCCCCAGGTGGAGCCCCGCCCATCCGCATTGAGACCTCCTCTTCCCACGTGGCCGAAGGGCAGACCCTGGATCTGAACTGCGTGGTCCCTGGACAGGCCCACGCCCAGGTCACGTGGCACAGGCGCGGGGGCAGCCTTCCTGCCCGGCACCAGGTACGGGGGCTGGAGAAAGCAGGATGTGGGCACTCCCCTACCCCACGCCACCCCTGCCCAACAGTCCTGCCTCATTCTAGCCAGGAGGGAAGGTAGCTCCAACTTCCGGGGCTTCGGGAAAATTGCAGCAGGAGACCACTGGGAGTCAGGAGTTCAAGGATAGGCTGGGTGCCGCAGAGCCACCCCCGGGCTCCCAGCACCTGGGTGCAATTAAAAAAAGGCACCTGTTACTCGGGTCGCTAGACTTCTCCTACCATAAAAGTGTCATAAACATACTCTGCAGTGTCTAAGGTCTCAGGGGTCGCCCTGCACATGATGCAGCCTTCACAACTGTACGTGACAGTCCTGGGGTGTATATAGCAGAGGACTTGGGCATCTGAAGGCCGTGGCTGCCAGCCCCCCAGCTCACTGTCCCTGCCCTTGCCCTGATGCTGGCCAGGTCCACGGACCCCTGCTAAGGCTGAATCAGGTGTCCCCGGCTGACTCTGGAGAGTACTCGTGCCAAGTGACCAGCAACTCAGGCACCCTGGAGGCTTCTGTCCTCGTCACAGTTGAGGCCTCCAGCCCAGGCCCCATTCCCGGTGAGTGACAGAAGCGGTGGGTGATGCTGGGACACAGGCCTGGGGAATCCCTTCCTGGCCTTGCTCTTCCCTGCTTTTCCAGCAGGGCTCTGGCTCTCTGCTCTGTGAAGGTCCTCCAGCCCCTCCCCGCAACCACGGGGGACCAGTCCTGGGTCTGGGTGGCATGGCCCCATGGCATCCTGCCACTGCCACCACCCTCAGTCCCTGCCTTCGTCCCTGGGAGTCCCACCCTTCTCACTCACCCCCTGTGCCCCCAGCCCCTGGACTGGCGCAGCCCATCTACATCGAGGCCTCCTCCTCCCACGTGGCCGAAGGACAGACCCTGGACTTGAACTGCGTGGTGCCTGGGCAGGCCCATGCCCGGGTCACGTGGTACAAGCGTGGGGGCCGCCTCCCCACCCAGCACCAGGTACAGGGGCCTGATGGGGAGCGTTCCAGGGCAGACCGGGTTCAACCTGCATTTGCTCTCTGTACCCCAGACCTCATGTGAACCCTGGCTTCCTCTGGGACCCCAGGGGATAGTGTAGTTGTTGGAGCAGAGCTGCTCAGCGGGAGAGTGAGAGACCTGGGTGTTCTGGCCCTGCTGCTGAGTTGTCCCCGAGGCAGCTTCCTCCTCTGAAAAGTGGGCCAGGTGAACATGTAGGATCCAGTAAATGAAGATCCCTCATCCCTCCCAGCTGGAGCCCTGGGCTCCTGGGACTCAAGGGAGAACTCAGCCACTGGCACAGCGGGCTTGGGGACTCGCCCAGCCCCAGGTGCTTTGGCCTGATGGCTGTCCCCTCCTCGCTCGCAGACCCACGGCTCCAGGCTACGGCTGCACCATGTCTCCCCTGCCGACTCCGGCGAGTATGTGTGCCGCGTGGCTGGCGGCTCTGGCCCCGAGCAGGAGGCTTCCTTCACAGTCACTGTCCCACCCAGTGCGGGGTCCTCCTACCGTGAGTGTGGCAGATGCCACAGGCAAGGGGCGGAGGGCAGACCGTGGAGCCTCATGAGGCAGGGGGGTCAAGCCAAGCTGGCCCTCCCGAGCCCAGCCCCCTGCTTGCTTCATCCCACAGGCCTCAGGAGCCCTGTCATCTCTATCGACCCACCTAGCAGCACTGTGCAACAGGGCCAAGATGCCAGCTTCAAGTGCCTCATCCATGACGGGGCAGCCCCCATCAGCCTCGAGTGGAGAACTCGGAGTCAAGAACTGGAGGGTGAGCTGGCGGGGGCCGGGGCGGGGGGAGGGGATCCTGGAGGCCGGTGTGAAGGTGTGATCACCGCTGTGGATGGGGCAAAGGCTGAGGGGGCCCCTCCCCTCTGGGGCCTCACTGTCCCCCATCTGGATGGGGAGGGGGCTGAACCCGGCAGTCTCCAAGACCTCTTCCATCTGCCACCTGGGACTCTGTGAGCTAGACACACCCAGGCTAGAGGGGTCGGGGACATGGGGCCGAGCGGTGCCTACTGGCAACACAGAGGCATGAGGACAAGCTCACTGACCATACCCTGCCCGATGCCAACTCCACAGACAATGTCCACATCAGCCCCAACGGCTCCATCATCACCATCGTGGGCACCCGGCCCAGCAACCACGGTGCTTACCGCTGCGTGGCCTCCAACACCTACGGTGTGGCCCAGAGTGTCGTGAACCTCAGTGTGCACGGTGAGCAGCGTGAGCCCGCGGGCTCTGCCTTCCTGTCTCCAGCCCTGCTTCTGAGCTCACAACCTCCAACTTTCAATCCTGCCTCTGCCAATGCCTCCCTCTTGGGCATTCTCCCTCTCGGCCTCAGTTTCCACGTCGGTGCAGGATAGTGCCCGGCCCAGGCAGTTACTGAGACAGGGGCCGTGACGGTGCATGTGACGGGCAGAGCCCTGCACGCACATCAGCGATGTCGTTCCTCTGGGCAGGGCCCCCTACTGTGTCTGTGCTCCCCGAGGGCCCCGTGCGGGTGAAAGTGGGCAAGTCTGTTACCCTGGAGTGTGTCAGTGCTGGGGAGCCCCGCTCTTCGGCTCGCTGGACCCGGATTGGTGCCCCCACCAACGTGGAGCAGCGGATGTATGGGGTCGTGGACAGCCACACGGTGTTGCAGGTGAGGCAAGTCTTCTCCTAGGCAGAGGCCGGGGCCATTTCATCTCTGGGTCTGAGGCCCAGTCGGGGTCCATCCTTGAGCAGATGCTCAGAGGAAAGAGTCGTGGATGGGCGGATCGGTGATGAATGGATGGAGAGAGAAAGGGGAGGCATGGGTGAGTGGTTGGTGGGTAGACTGGAAGATGGGCAGTAAGAAAAAAGGTAAAAGAAAGGAAGAAAGAATGGCTGGAAGGATGGATGGATGGGTGGGTAGGTGGGTAGATGGGTGGATGGGTAGGTAGTTGGGTGGATGGGTAGGTAGTTGGGTGGATGGGTAGGTAGATGGGTGGATGGGTAGGTAGATGGGTGG